TTATGCCTATGTGTGTCTGGATGTGTCTTTGTGTGCCTGTCTGTGGCTCTCTGTACTTGTGTGTGTGTATATTTGCAAGTATATGTATGTCTGTTTGTACTCGTCTGTATGTCTCTATGCATGTCTGTGCTCTATGTGCCGGTTGTGTCTGTAGTTGTGCATAGCTGATGTTTGGGGATGGACCAGGGGTGGGTCATTTGGAAGTGCTCACCAAATAATTTTTGGGCTCAAGCCCTGGGTGTTTTTTTTATTCTAGCATTATACTTGTGAATAATATAGGTATTGCAGGACTCATCACTAAGGGCATATAGTGTTTTTCCTGACACTATAGTGACCTTACAATTATAGGTCACCCATCTCTGACCAGTATGAAATGGTCCAAAAATAATTTTACTTACCTTGTTTCTGGCAAGACTCCCTCAGCGCTGGCTATGTCTTCTCCTCTTGCGATATCACGGCGCCGCTCACACATTATTACTTTGTCATAGGAAAGCATTGAATCAATGTTTTTCTATGGATAACATTCAAGGTGTTAGGAGTCCTCATGCAAAGTGAAATTAATGTCTCGAAAGTGCCTCTAGTGGCTTTACGGACGACAGCCACTAGAGGTGGAATTAATGCTGCAATGTAATCATTGCAGTGTTTTATATGGCAGTGTTAAGCAGGCAGGGACACTGATCCCCTACTTAATAAATAAGATTAAGTGGTTTTGGTGCCTATGGTGTGCCTTTTAAGTAGGTTTTACAGATCTCCCAACATCACGAGAACTGGTTTGAATTGAATCTGTGCACACTATACACTAAACAGTGAGTTTGCTATGTGGGATATGTCATTTTTTTTACTCCATTCTCTTAAATGTATCTGTCACAATTCCTCAGAAGTTAACTTCATTCACTATCAACAGAGCTAAAATTGCCACTAAGGTGAAAGCAAGATTGGTGGGGTGGGATTTGGGATTAGATGATGATTATAATGTAAGAGTTTATTTGGTTTGTTTATGGATCCAGTTCCATTTATCCCTATCAAGGAGTAAATGAATTAAGGTAGTTTGTTGTAATTCAGCTATTCACAAACTTATATAGATATTTTAAAAACTAACTGAACAAAAATGTTAATGCGAAATCAGTTTAATTAACTGAATTGATGTTTTGTAAGTAGCTAAATTTGTTTCACATAACAAGTTTTGGTTAAAATATCATGTGGGTTTTGGACTTTACTTAGTAGACCCATCTGTACTTACTTACTTAGGATTTTCAGAATTGATCACATCTGTAGGTAAAACTTTACATGAAGCTCTGTACAAACCTGACATGTTTGCATAATACCCTTTCCAAGCCCTTGCTTTAATATTGTTTGATAAGCTTTCCAAATAATTTAATGTTTTTGGATGCATTTACATTTTTTTTAACATATTAAAATATCGAAAATATACTACATATAAAAATAAATCTCACTTTATGAAGAAATACCAAAATATTACTAAATTAAAATATCTATATTTTAACCCCTTAAGGACTGAGCCAAATGTTTTGATCAAAATAAAACGTAAACAAAACAAGGACCTCGCGATCACATGGCCCAGGAGGGCAGGATTGGCAGCAGGGGGACTTCCTGGGATGTCAGGTAAGTCCCCCCATCGCGATCGCCGCCCGCTGGCGTTTAGAGCTGGGTCCCCACGGACGGCATAACACGTCCACCATCCTTAAGCGGTTAAAAGTGTATCTAAAAATATTAAATCATTTGCAACCTTATTTTAAAAGTGTATCTAAAAATATTAAATCATTTGGAAAGCTTATCCAGCAACATTAAATTGAGGCCTAAATGTGTAATGTTGCATCCATTACTTACCAACTAGTATTAAAACTGCAAATGCAATCTGAAAAATGCTGTAAATAAGCGGGAAGGAAAACATCAAACCGAGTTGTTCAGGTGTGAAGGAGAGTTGAACTATGGTGGTACATAACTGGGTATTCTGTGTGCCTGTTTCCAGTGCCACTGTACGACATCTAAGCAAACAGAAAACATCCAAAATTATTTACTTATTTGATGGAAAATACATTGCAAACACAAATAAGGTAAGGTGTATATGATGTATACCTATACATATCCGATATATATATATATACACCCTCTTCTATTACATGTTTACATGAGCGTATGATTCCCCACTTGTAATTTTATAACAGTATATTTTATCAAAACCACAGAAATAGTTAGTTTTATCAAATTTAGGTCTGTCTACATCGACAAATACCTCTCCACTTACAAATGCCTAGTTGTCTCAGTTTTAAAAGTGTAAGAGTATCACTTTCATTACACAGTGCTGGCCAACGTCCGTAATTAATTGTCCATCTGCAATAACTGGACAAAAACATGTGGACATAACTTCAAGTTATGCTGTTTGTTCCTGACAGCCACATTATTGGCTGCCAAGAGCACAAAATCAGCCTAGCTAGACAGTAGCTTCTTTATGGTTAGGTACATGAGGGAGCAGTGGCGTACACGCAATCCATGGGGCCCCGGTGCGAAACTGATCCATGCCCCCCCCCAATCTGTGCCCCCCAGACACACACATACATACATACACATACACACATATAGAGACACATACACACAGACAGACACACACACACAGATATACAGACAGACAGATACATACAGACACACACACATATACCCCCGACAGACACACAGACACATACATACATACAGACACACATGCATACAGACACACACACACACACACACATACAGACACATACAGACACATACATACAGAGACACACACACATGTGTCTGTATGTGTGTGTGTGTATCTCTGTATGTGTGTCTGTATGATACAGACACATACAGACAGAGACACACACACATAAAGACACATACATACAGACATACATACAGAGATACACACATACACATACATACAGACTATAGAAAGCAAGAAATAGGACTAAAAAGTCATGGGCAGGAGAGTAATAGAATGGGGAAGGGATCCCTACCTTTACTAATCCTAGGGGAAGACAAAGTAAAAAAGAGGAATGTGTAGTTACACATCCAAAAACTAAAGTCAATATCCAGCTGAGAAAAACTGCCTGACAGGTCCAATAACTGGGATACAGGTCTAGGCTGCGTATGATCTGTGCCTCATGGATAGAACACACAGGTAGAAGGAGGTAAAATAACGAAAAACTGGGCGAAAGAGGTGGAAATACCTCTATAGGGGGGAATAAACACCCAAAACTACACCCAGACAGGAACCACTGGAGATAGTTTGCTGTCCCTATTTTCCTCGGCACTGTGGAGAACCACTAGTGCCTGCCCGAACCCTTCTCCCTACCTGTCCTAGTAGCTAAAGTAATTAAATGAAATCAATCAAAACCTTTAAAGGGTCTAAAGGTTTTCCCCACATACTTAATGCCACACGAGCAGGTAAGTAAATAAATGACACCCTCTGTTCTGCAATTAAAGAATGAACAGACCGAGAAAATTTCTCTGTTATTACTATCTGTAAACTCTTTAGAGTTTTTATCAATAAATTCACATGCGCTGCAATGTCCGCACTTATATGCCCCCCCGGGTAAGTAATTATTAGTCCCTCTTTTAAGAGGTGCTAAATGACTTTGTACCAAAGTATCCCATTGGTTTTTACCTCTCTGTGCAGTCACAGAGGGAAATGTGGTGATTACCTGCTTGATTTGTGGATCAGACGTCAAAATCGGCCAATAGCGCCTCAGTGTGCCCATCATGAAATCCTAACCTGCATCATATGTGGCAATGCAGCGGATCAATTTTTGATCCTGTACTTGTGCATTGTCATCAGTGAGGAGTAAATCACGTTCACTACCAATGGCTCTGGCATATGCTCTGCGTAGTACCCTATTCGGATAGCCCTTCTCCATAAAAGCTCGCCTAAGGTCCCAGGCTTTAATTTTAAAATCTTCTGTAGAAGAGCAATTACGCCTTAATCTTAAATATTGGCCTATTGGTATGCCCGCCTTAAGAGGCTGGGGATGATAAATATGCCAATTTAAAAGACTATTGGTGGCAGTTTGTTTCTTAAAGAGGGTAGTTGAAACTCTTCATCCAGATTGTATTATTATGGTTATGTCTAGGAAATTGAGTTGTTTGCCGCCAATCTCACTAGTGAATCTCAGATTAAGGTCATTCATGTTGAGAAGTCTTACAAAGTCCTCAAAGTCTTTATTACATCCTGTCCAAACAAGCAGTACATCGTCTATGTACCGTTTCCAACATGATATCATCCCTATAGAGTGGCTTAGATGTGGGGCCGATTTGATATGGTTTTCCCAAGTACCCAAGTAAAGATTTGTGTAGGAGGGAGCACAGGATGTTCCCATCGCTGTCCCTCTTACTTGTTGGTAAATGGTACCATTAAAAAGGAAGATATTTTTAGTGAGAACCGTTCTGAGTATATTGGAGACAAAATCTATATAGGCATCTGGGGATTGTAGCTCTTGTTCAAGGATGGTTTTAATGTTATTAATTCCCTGTGTATGCGGTATAGAGCTATATAAGGACTCTACATCCAGACTGCATAATGATGCTTGCTCTGGTATTGAGATGTCCTTCAGGAAGTTTAACATCTGTTTTGTGTCCCTTATATACGATGGTAACTTTGAGACAATAGGGGACAAGATTTTGTCCAGATATATACTCAGGTTCTGAGTCAAATTCCCACACCCCGATACAATCGGTCTACCTGATGGGTTGTCCAGGGATTTATGGACTTTGGGTAGACTATAAAAGGTTGAAAGTATTGGCTGCTTGACCAGCATGAACTCAAATTCATTTTTGGTGATGAGGTTTTCTGTTAGGGCCTGACTCATACATACAGACACACACACATACAGACACACACACACACACACACACAAATATACATACAGTCTGTATGTATGTGTGCATCTCTGTATGTATGTGTTTGTATGTGTGTGTGTGTCTGTATGTGTGTGTGTCTCTGTATGTGTCTGTATGCGTGTGTGTCTGTATGTATGTGTCTGTATTTGTGTGTGTCTCTGTATGTATGTGTCTGTATGTGTGTGTCTGTACAGACACATACATACAGAGACACACACACATACAGACAGACACACGTAAGTATGTATGTGTCTGTATGAGTGTGTGTGTCTGTATGTATGTGCTTGTATGTGTGTGTGTCTCTGTATGTATGTGTCTGTATCATACAGACACATACATACAGAGACACACACACATACAAGCACATACATACAGACACACACACTCATACAGACACATACATACTTACGTGTGTCTGTCTGTATGTGTGTGTGTCTCTGTATGTATGTGTCTGTATGATACAGACATACATACAGAGACACACACACATAGAGACACATTGTGTGTGTGTGTGTATGTATGTGTCTATATGTGTGTGTGTGTCTGTATGTATGTATGATACAGACACATACATACAGACACACACACACACACATACACATACAGACACATACATACAAACACATACAGACGCATACATACAGAGACACACACATACATACAGACACACACACATACAGACACACACACACACACACACACAAATATATACCGTCTGTATGTATGTGTCTGTATGTGTGTATATGTGTGCGTCTCTGTATGTATGTGTCTGTATGTGTGTGTGTCTCTACATGTATGTGTCTGTATGATATAAACACATACATACAGAGACACACACACACATACATACACATACATACAGAGACACACACATACATATGCACACACACACACACACACACAAACACATACATACAGACACACATACAGAGACACACACATACAGACACACATACAGACACACACATACACACAGACAGACAGACACACACATACACAAAATGTTTAAGTCACCCTCCTGTTTCCTACCTTTTGTAGGAGGGTGACTTTCCCTGTGGTGCACTGGGGGCTCAGGCTGATGGGAGTCAGAGTTCCCACTCTGACTCCCTCCTCCTTCCTCCCGCATGGCTCTCTGATAGCTGGGAGGAGTGACCGGGGCAGTCACTTCCTCCCAGCTCTGTTTGATGTCATCACAGGGGGCCCGTAGCGCTGACTGGGCCCCCTGAAAATCCATCTCCATCGGGTGGCCCTAACAGCATGGGCCACCCGATGGACCCCTTCATGTGTGGCCCCGGCAGTGTGCAGCGTGGGCCGGGGCAGCAAAACATGGCGGTGGGGAACCCAGTCGCAGGGGTCCGCAGGGCGGCCGGGTCCCCTGGAGTAATGGGGCCGGTCGCAGCTGCGACCCCTGCGACTGGGGTATGTATGCCAGTGCGAGGGAGGTAAAACCCTCACACTGACATTATCTGCAGAAAATCATAGTTTAGTACATGACAGTAGAATGCTACTCATCTGACTGTGTAGGAAAAAATGGAAAGTTTATTAGAGAAGAAATAATGACATATGGCTAATTATCATGACTGATTGGCTGATTGGAAGCAAATTCACATGCAGATTTTCTGCCCAGGTGAGTAAAGGCCATTATAGGAGCAAAAGAGCAACCAACTCCTTATTAATGTGCATTATTTTGGATAGTTGGTTGATGAGCAGTCATCACAATACTATCTCTCTCTCTCTCTCTCTCTATCGGTCTCTGTGTCTGTCTGTCTGTCTATTTAAGCATTAGTGCAATTCATACCTGCGCCATGACTGTTTTGATAAGTATGCCAAACCAAAACCAAAAGTGTAGCCAACAGCTGGGAAGATTGTTCCTATAATCCATAGTTCAGGGGCAATGATCCAGGAACCTCTATACAGAACTCCACCAATGACAGCAATAAGTATAATGAGAATGAATCCAGTGATGGAGCCAATCTAGAGGATGAAAATTAAAGATTGACAAAGGCAAACATCTTAATTAATTTTAGAGGAATTAAAATTATATACCTAACACCATAACCTCTTTGTCACTTTCATCACCTCACTCATCAAGCCCATCAGACAAGACCCCTTCCTTCCAATGTCTTCATTCCTATCAAAATTTGTTTTGTGTGAATTATGGCTTTATTAAATATGACAATCATATAGATTTTGAAAGTGAGTGTGACTGTAAATGCAATAATTGACATTTTAAATAAATAAAAACATTACAGTTTGTGCAATGCTAGTGGATGCGAGCGTCTTGTTTTATAAAACGGCGCGTTGAACATTTAAAGTCTAAGGCAATATAAATATATTGCAATTTTATGATTTGGTTGGCTGATTGGAAGCTCACTTCTGTATAAATATCCCTAATTCACGTTGATGTGTTTGACACTGACAATTAAATACTTGATGCATTGTTCCATTCTATATCCATTTAGTACAGTGTTATTTGATGAGGGCATCATAGCTATCCAATGGTTTGCTCTCTGTACCCTTTTTCGTTAAATAATTGGGGAGATATATTAGAGTTATTTACTAAAGTGGAAGTTTAAATTGAATTCAAAGTAAATTTCAAAGTTAAGGCCAGAATAGCTGAAGTAAAAGCTCAACTTTCTTAGAAAATGTTTCTAGTTTGGCTATTTTTACCTTACATTTTTAATTCACTTTGAATTCACTTTAAGGGAGCACTATAGCGTTAGAAATTCAAACATGTATCCCACACGCTATAGTAGATGTTTAGTTATTCACCCAACCCTCACCCCCCTCGGAGTGCTTGAAAAAATTGAGGTTTATTTAATTTCTCAGTTGCTGCTCTGCTTTCTCTAAGGCCACCCTACCACCCATCACTGGACTACTGAAATCTGAAACATTACAAATCCGAGTTCAATTTAAAAAATATCAGAACTATTTCAGACAGCGCAAGCAGTCAGCGGGTACATGAAATAACATCAGCAATGCAGGGGTTAATTATAAGGCGGCTAGCCAGTGGTTGCTAGCTCATTTTATAAAATTAAAATGGAAGTAGAATTGAATGCTTTTCTAAAGAAATGTGCTTTTAGGGATTTTTTTGTAAAGGACTGGAAACTAAGGAAAGCCCCAGTGAGGTGAAATAGGATATTTCGTACAAATGGATCAGTCCTGTAAGCAAGAGATGGGTGCTGTGTTTAAAACAAAAAGTGAGACAGTGGAGTCACCTAGATAGACAATATTTGCTAATTAGAAACTATGTACCATGTTTTGGAGGTTTAGTTGTAGAGACGAAGAATGAATAAAACAAACAAACGCATTTTATTACAGCCACTAATAATAAGACATACTGTAATTGATAAACTCCCCTATATCTAAAATTTGTAGATGGCAAAATCTGATCAATACCTGCAATATTAGAGCAAACAATATAAAAAGTACAATACAAACTAGACATGATTTTAGACATATCATTATTTCTCTAAATGTTTGTTGATTTGTTGATCAATCTGTATACAGGTAGTCCTCACTTAAATACCTAGCTGTTTTATGATAGCTGGCACTTAAAGGACCACTATAGTGCCAGGAAAACATACTTGTTTTCCTGGCACTATAGTGCCCTGAGGGTGTCCCCACCCTCAGGGTCCCCCTCCTGCCGGGCTGGATGGAGAGGAAGGGGTTAAACTTACCTCTTTCTCCAGCACCGGGCGGGGATCTCTCCTCCTCCTCTCCTCCCTCTTCTCCTCCTCTTCGGCTGAATGTGCATGCACGGCAGGAGCCGCGCGCGCATTCAGCCAGTCCATGCTTTCCTATGGGCGCTGGCGTCTTCTCACTGTGATTTTCACAGTGAGAAACGCGGAAGCGCCTCTAGCGGCTGTCAATGAGACAGCCACTAGACGCTGGATTAACCCTAATATAAACATAGCAGTTTCTATGATACTGCTATGAAACTGCTATGTTTATAGAAAAAAGGGTTAACCCTAGATGGACCAGGCACCCAGACCACCTCATTAAGCTGAAGTGGTGCCTATAGTGCCTATAGTGGTCCTTTAAGACCAGCAATCTAGCGTACTGATTCAAGGTATTCCCCACGGTAGAGAGCTGGTCTATGTTAAGGGAATTTCCCCCAAACATACACTTTAGAGATTCATTGCCCTAGATAGCTAATCTATGTTCGGGAAAGTTTTATTTTAAAACCAGGTCTTAAGAACAGAACCCAGTCGGTAAGTGAGGGCAGCTTGTAAAAAATGAATGAAATACTACAATCAAGAAATTAATTAAAAACAAATAATGACATGAATGAATTAGTATGTACACAGATACAAACTGAAGTTATAATTATAGATATCAAATTTAGACCTTTTAGGATCAAGCGTAGTAGAAAGATTAAGAAGGGATTGGAGGTTACAAAAGAGCCGTCATATTAAAGGGACAATACAGGCATCCAGACCATTTCATCTCATTGAAGTGGTCTTGGTGCAGTATTCCTGTCTCCTTAACAATACAATGTAAACTTTGCACTTTCAGAGAAACTGCTATATTTACATTGCAGGGTTAAGACTGCCTCTAGTGGCGGTATTCCAGACAGCCACTAGAAGCACTTCTAGGCCTTTCATGGAGTTTAAGTATTCACGCTTTGCATAACTTTGTAAAGTTTATGATGGACCTTACAAATGTGTATTATTCTTGAAAACAACAAACACCTATTATTCAATGGTCATAGCTGTGGAATTTGTTGGTACAGTGTTAACAAAAATAATAAAGTTTAAAAGCAAAAGAATTAGAAATTTGAAATATGCTTTACCTTGAGAATTTTGTTTGCAACTTTTGGCCATTTATGGTTAACAAACATTCCAAATGTGACAGGAACTACCAGCGTTACCAAGGAAATACCTGAAAGAAATATAAATAGATAAAGTCAGACCACACCTTGAATATGCTGAGCAATGTTGGGCACAGCATATTCTAAAGAAGGATATTATGGCTCAAGAAAAAAAGTGCAGAGGCAACTACAAAATGAAAAAAAGGAATAGAACATTTAAGTTATGAGGAATGGTTAACACATTAAAATCAAAAGAGAATATGAGAGCATTATACACATATATTTAGGGCAAATACAAACCAGTGACTGCAAATCTATTCTTAAACAGAACTATACATAGGAGACAAGCAGACAAAGGTGGCAATATTGTTCTTTTAAATAGACCAGAATACATCAATATGTGTATGACCCACCTGGATGACTATCTATGTTACAGAACCCTTCCCTCTGACCCTACCAACAAGTTTCTAAGCGAACTGGACATCTTATTAACAGATGCTAAGACTCATCAGGTTATAACCTCAGATGGATTTAAATTTCTATTACC